GTACCTCCGTCGAGTGGTTCCGCCACGCCAGGCGCACGCGCCTCTTCTCACCAAGGGCCACGACGGCTTGAGAGGGAGGAGAACACACGCGACCGCTTCGCACCTTGCACGGTGTCGACTCTCGCCTTCTCACTCTCCTTTTGTCGCCTTCTGCCGGTGTGAACGCCATGCCGAAGCCGAAAAACACCCCCGGCTCGCCGACACTGGCCTTTTTTGGCGCCCGACCACGGTCGGAGTCACTCTCTCCCCTGTCGGAGCAGCAGCAGCAGCACCCACAACAGCAGCAGCAGCAGCAGCAGCAACAGCAACCGCGACAGCAACAGTCAGCCCCAGCAGCTGCACCACCGTTGCTAACATCGCCGCAAAATGCCCCCCCCTCCGCCAAGATGACCCTGGCACCGGGTATGGCTGCAGCGGGAGATACGGCCAGGCCGCGGTCCACTTCGCTCCTGTCGACTTCCTCGATGGCCTCATCGGTGGGCGAGCAGGCGGATCTGTCTTTCGGCGGGGACTCCACAGGAGATCCGACCACTCCGGTGTCCGCGACCGCTCTCTCCCCGCCAGCCACGCCCCAGGCAGCGGGTAGCTCGGGCTCTGTGCCGACTTCCTCTGCCGCCTCCTCCTCCTCCTCCTCCACGCGCAAGGGGTGGAAGCGCTTGCGTGAGGCCTGGATGCTGGTGTCTGGCAGTCCGGGATCCGGGTCCACCAGCGGTCGAAGCACCCCGGCAGGCCCGGGGTCGTCAGCCTCCGGCGGCCAGGGCACCGTGTCTGGTACCGGGCCTGTGGCCTGGCCTCCGGGCGAGGGGGGGGACATGTCCCACCCGGCTCCCGGGGCTTCCGGGGCTGGCATGGCCAATGTGCCCGGCATCTTCACTCCGCATGCCGGCCTGCCCGGGGCGGGGGGGCTGTTGTCGGCCACCTCCTCGCAGGCTGGGCTGATCATCAGTCCGTCCGAGCTGAACAGCATGGATATGAACTTCCGCCAGCGCTTGGCCGAATACTTCCAGCACTGCTTGGCAGACCGGCTGCTGGGCCAGGCGGCCCCGGCTGATGGGGCCGGCTTCGGATCACTTCCCATCATGCTCCTGGCCCCGACGATTCCCGGGCAGCCGGGCCCGAGTGATCCTCCAGATCATCCCTTCATTGAGGGAGGGCTCAGTCTGGGCGATGGGCACCTGACCGTCGAGTGCGTAGCTTCTCCAGGGCTCTTCCTGCGGTTCTTCCTCTGCGTTGTCTGCTTTCCCATCTTCCTGGTCTTGCGCCACACACGCACTTACACATGCACATACGTCCATGTACATTTGGGCATCTATGCATACGTACACATTCACATTCACACACACACACACACACACACACACACACGCACGCACGCCTGCAGTCGGATTCTCCGTGGTATTCAAGCCTCTCACTACCCGGGGATGGCCTCGCGCATTGGCGTGTCAGATTCCGCCTCCATTCGGTCCGGCATGTCCGGTAATCCGATTGCCATGTCCCACTCGGCGGCCACCCTGCCGGCACAGCTCTCCTCTCCCGGGGCCTCCCTCCGGTCCAGTCCCTCTGGAGACAACATTTCCATCCATTCCGGCATGTCGGCACCGCTGTTGGCCGGTGGCTTGGCCGGCCAACTTGAATCCACCCAGGCCGGGCTTGGGCTCTACTTTGCCTTGTCGTCGGTGAATTTGGCGCACCCGGGCGTGCGGCGGTCCTCGTGCACCCCCACTGGCGGCGCCCAGGTCGCTGTCCGGGGCCCGGCTGCCCCCCAATCGGACCCGCTCTGCCCGCCTTCGCCCAGCGTCCGAACAATGCGATCTGTGTCGTCAGCCGGGTCCGCACCGGTGGGCAGCAAGATGCGCCTGTCGGCCGGGCATCCGGACGGCTTTGTGGCGGCGGCCGCTGCCGCGGCGGCCGTCACCAGCAGCGCTAGCATCACCAGCAATGGCAGCAATGAGGCCGGCCCGGCAGGGGGCGCACCGCCTGCCGCCGTCGCCGCCGCGGCCACGGCCGCCACCACCGGTTCGGTGTTCCCCTCGGTCGATGTGCCCGGGTCCCTGGCGGTGGCGGCGCCGCGGCGTTTGTCCCGCAGCTCGACCGATGTTCCCGGCTCGCCGGGCCTCGGCCCGAGCGATCTTCACGGGGACCTGGTCGGCGCCGTGCGCAACCTGTCCGGTTGGCCCGAGCCGCGTCTTTTTGCGGTCGACGCGTCGCTCACCCTGAACCAGGCTCTGGCCTCGGTGATTCAGTTCCTGGTCACCGATGCCACTGGGGTCTTGACGCCCGTCGGTGCGGGCAGCGGCGCCGGGGCCAGCTGCCTGTTGGTCATTGCCCCGCTGGCCTCGGCCACTCTGACCAGCCCTGGCCAGGCGCCGATCTTGCGGCTGCCCTCCATGAGCGGCTTCTACCTGCCGCCGCATGTGGCTGACAGCAGTGGATTCAACGGCCCGGATGCTGGGAGTCTGCCGGCCGGCGAGCCGCGCAAGACCCCGGCCGCCGTGATGGCCGACCTGCTGTCCTCGCCTGCTCTGGAGTTCGACTTCTCGCCGGCCAACTTCTGGACATTCATCGAGGCATCCCTGGAGGAGGCGGGGCCCCCTTCGCGACGTCTGGTCCACCTGTTTGTGCGTCCTCCTCCACGGGTTGGGGGAGGGACATGGCTCCGCGTCGCCTCGCTCCCCCCCCTCTGCCCCTTGATGCCTCTGCCGCCCGGCCCCACTACACCCCGCCGCCGCCGCACCTCCACCGCCGCCATCCACTTGCTGCCTCCTGGCAGGGCATGAACTAATCTGGCTCCACTTCCTGTCAGGCCACTCCGTACCAGGTGTACATCGGTAGCGGCTTTGAGGAGGCCTCGGACCCCTCGGGCTCGGGGCCCGGCGCAACCACGGCGTCGATCCAGTTTTTCCCCCTTTGCGCACCGGGACGCATCCGTTTTACGCTGGTCAATGCCTCAGCCACCAATGGCCTGTCCTTCGGCTTTGAGATGCATGTGCGGGATACGGTCAACGCCACTGGTCCCGAGCATCAGGCCGGCGATCTGACGGCGGATGCCGCGGACGCTGCCGCCACCGAAACGACGATCTCCCTTTGGGCCTTCTCCCAGCAGGAGTGCGAGAGCTGGCTGCTCCACCTCTCGACATGTCAATTCTTTTCACATCGCCTGAGTGCGTGCCACCTTCACCTCGGGCGCCGGTCCTGTCTCCTGTTGTCCTGCTTCTCCCTTTCCTTTCCCGTGTCCCTCTTTCTTTCTTTCGCTCCATCTCCACCCCTTCCGTACACATGCCATGGCTGGCCAGCTGTCCTTCCTTTATTTCCCTCTTGCCCTTGCGTTTGCTTCGGAAGCACTGACCGGTCCATCCGCCGTGGCATGCTTGTCTCCAGCTTCCGGGGTCATGCCCGTCGAGTACGTGACCGCTGCCCGCCCGCATGGGGCTGTTCCCTCCTTTGAGTTCCTTGTATGTGCACCCTATGGCCCCCTCCGCCTGCGACTCACCCGTGTAGTGGTGCTTTTGAGCGTAGGTCCGACCCGCACACTCCGTTGGCGGTTTTCAGCCAGCTCTACGAGGGGGCGCTCTCCCTTTCGCCAAAGGGCCCCTTCCCTTCGGATGGTGGGCACCTTTTCGATCAGCCGGAGAGCACCTGCTTTTCGGAGATCTTTCCCTCGGCGGGTCGCTCACACTGGATCAACACCTACTCCATTGAGCGATCGCATGCGGCCAAACTCCGTGCTGCCTCACTGGCAGAGCAAATTGCCGGGCGTCACTCCCAAATCCAGCACTGTAGCCAAAAGCTCGATAGTTTGGCACAGGAGCGCACCGTGCGTCTCCTGCCTCAGGGTAGCTGTTCTTCTCCTTTTCTCCCTCTCTTTCTCTGTCTCTCTCTTTCTGTCTCTCTGTCTCTCTCTCCCTCTCCCTCTCCCTCTCCCTCTCCTTCTCCCTCTCTTTCTCCCTCTCTTTCTCCCTCTCTTTCTCCCTCTCTTTCTCTCTCTTTGCCCCTTCTCTTCCTCGTTCCCTCTCTCCTCCCTTCTTGAGTTCTTGCATTTGAATTGCTAACCGCTTACATGTGCATGCACTTCGTGGCTTGCCTTTTCAACCATACGAGTAGCGTTTCCTCGAGCGCACTCTCCGTCCGTTGATGATCCGCCTCAAGGAGGCCGAGGCGGTGGTGGCCAACTATGCCATCGCGAATGACGCTCGCTTTGGCAGTCTCTCCCACTTGTCTTCGCTGCTGGAATTGCCCGAGAGCAAGGGTGCCCTGTCGATTGGGCCGGCTTCTTTGGTGGCCCTTGTCAACAGCAAGGTGCGTACTCCATTTCCATCGTCCTAACAGCCCTGCCCACCGGATCAGGTTGCGAATGGGCGAATAATCACCATTTGTCCGACTGCACACTGACATGCACGATGGGGTGCCATCACCTCGACCCGCCCTGCGGACCGTCTCGCGTTTGGAAACTGCCCGCAGATCGAGACCCTCGAGCGGGATGCCTTGCACGCTGTTGAGGTGGATCGAGCCATGACCACCACGCGCATGGTCATTTTGTGTGCGTTTGGGGGGGGGGGGGGGCGGATTCTCGCGGGCCAGCTCATGGTGGGGGTGGTATTCTCCCTTTCTCCTGTTCTTTTGGGGGGCACCCGCTGACACTATCGACCTCTTTGTGGCCGCCTCTCGCGTCCCGCCCCTTGACCCTCTTCCGCCCTTCCTCCTTGAAAGATGCCATCCTCGGGCCGTTTGTGTACTGGGTGATTCAGCGAATTGGCAGCGCTGTCACCGGCCTGCTGGCTGGGCACTTGTAGCTGGTTTTAGGACCATGCACATTGCGCCTTCTTCCTGCATGCGCCGGAGTCACATTTGCGGCAGGCAGTGCGCCGGTCATTGGACTTGCACTTGATGGATATGTAAACATATTATACCCATTCATCCATCCATCCATACGAGAGACCACAAGCGGTACAGCAACAGGGACAGCAGGGCTTTGTGTGTGTGTATTCGGGCGTGTCATGGGGCATCATTGCCGATCTATGTGATTGGGCTGCTGTGAGGAAGAGCGCTGGCAGGGGCGGCGCACCATCCTCTTGCTTTATGTGCTGTTGTCAGGAGGGGGGGGGGGGGGAAGGGGGGCAGCATGTGCAGCCGGCACCCAAGGCGGTCGCCGGGCTGCGCACATGCGCAACGGGGCAGGGGGAGACGGGGGGGGGATCAGATGCGGGCAGACACGGCCGCGATGAAGAGGGGGGGGGGGACACAGCGCGCCAGGCTATCAGTTGGACTTCTTGGCAGCGGCGGCGGCGGTGGTGGTGGCCTCGCCGGAGGCAACGGCCGAGGACTTGGCCTGCTCGGCAGCCAGCTGGCGCTGCTTCTCCAGGCGCTTCTTCTCCAGGGGAGGAAGGTCGTTCGGGTGGAGGTGAGTGCCGCAGAGGCGATCCCAGAAGGTGAAGAACTGGCCGTAGTTGTAGACGAAGCGCAGGTGATGGTGGGTGTGGTGGGCCTGTGTGTCGAGCAGAGGGCATGCATGTGCGTGTGCGTGTGCGTTTGTCAGTAGTCCGGGTAGCGTCATGCGGGGGGGAAGGGGGGGGGAACAAAAGAAAGGGAAGAGGAGCCGCGAGGAGGACAGGACGCACGGAGCCGTTGATGAAGTCGAAGGGGCTGAAGTCAACACCATCATGGATCATGATGGTCCAGAGCTGGACAAAGACGAAGAGGCCCAGGTACACATGCTTGTGCACAGGGAACAGGAAGACCGCAATGTGGTAGGGGGTGGACTGGAGCCAGCCGTCGACCGGGTGGAAAGCCAGCGCGGCGAAGGGGGTCGGCACCTTCCAGATGTGGTGGGGCTTGTGCACATACTTGTAGAGGAAGGGGATGTCATGCTCCAGGCGGTGGATCCAGTAGATGCCGGTGTCGGTGAAGAAGATGAAGAGGATGATCTGCACCGGGATATACCAGAGCGGGTAGTCAGAGAGGTTCTCATACAGCCGGGAGTAGCCCCACACCTCGAGGAAGACGAAGGGGGCGGTCAGGACACCGATCCACGGGCACGACCAGAGGGCCATCTGAATCTCGCTGTGGGTGCATCAGTGCATGGGTGCATGGGTGCCGGGGGCGGGGGGGG